TCATGTATCCCAAAAATTTGCCCCCTCTTACAGCAAAAGCACATTTTTTGGGATTCAGCCTCATGTTGGCTTTCTGCATTATCCCGAACACCTTTTCTATGTCCAGTACATGATTTTCCTTCTTCCTGATTTTGATCAGGATATCATCAACAAAAGCTTCCATTGTGACCCCCAGTACTTCTTTAAACAACATCCCGATCATCCTTTGAAAAGTTGTCATTGCGTACTTTAATCCGAATGGCATGACAATATAGCAAAACACACCATCCGAAGTAACGAACGCTGTTTTCTCCGCATCAGCTGGGTGCATGAATATCTGATGGTAACCCCGTAATGCATCCATGAAGCTCAGCAATTCACATCCGGCAGTTTCATCTACTAGGAGGTCGATCCTCGATACTGGATAAGGGTCCATGGGGCAAGCTTTATTCAGATCTGAGTAATCCACGCACATTCTCCAATCAGATTGCTTTGGGGCTAGGACCACATTCGATAGCCATTCTACGTGGATTACTGGACGGTTGTGTTTTATTTTCAGCAAGGTGGCCACCTCCTGCTTTGTGAATTCCCGCCGTTCGGTTGCTTGATATCGTTTCTTTTGCTGGACTGGTTTTGCATCAGGCCGAACGACAAGTTTGTGACATATTATCTCCGGGTCAATACTTGGCATATCTTCTGGCCCCCGGGCGAACAACACCTGAAACTTTTTTAGGACGGCAATCACGCCATCCCGGATGTCAGCCTCCAGATCTACCTCAATAGCTACCTTACGGTTCGGGGGGAAATCCAGGTCGATTTGTTCGAGGAGAGTGGCAGGTTCTGGGTGTGCCTCGAACTCCGTTCGGTGGGTCTCCACCTCAATTGTGTTAACCCGCATTCCACGAGTGTTCATCTGTTTTAGGGCCTCTCGATAACATGTCTGGGCTGTCATCGGATCAGTTTTGGCCACCCCAACCCCAGTGTCAGTAGGGAATTTGATGCATGAGTGGCGGACAGAGGCTATTGCCTCCAGATCTTTCAATCCCGGTCGGCCCAATATGGCATTGTGGGCACATTTTATATCCACCACCACGAACGTCATTCGGAGTGATGCTTTGTGCATTTCATCCCCAATTTCAACCATCAATTGGATGGTCCCCTCAGCCTCAATGCAATTACCGGTGAAACTCGCCAGTGGGGTCCTTAGGTGGGTCAGTTGACTTTTTTGTAGACCCATTTTCTCGAATGATTGTAGATACAATACATTCACACTGCTCCCGGTATCGATCAGTACTCGGCGGATCAAAGCATTGTCAATGCACATGCTCACCACCAGTTCATCCCTGTGCGGGCTTGGAGAGTTGGGTAAATCAGCTGGCCCGAACGTGATCGGGTCCGTCCTTCCTTTCTTCTGGGGGGAGTGGAGATGGATCCCACATAGAGACTTCGCTCGAACCTTTTCCGTTCAGCATTCGAATCCCCTGTCTCCCCACCCCCAAATATAACCTTGACCTCCATTCGAGGTTTCTTTCCAGAGCCTCCCGAGCCCTTTGGTTCATCCCTGGGGGGAACATATACATCATTTTGAGGCTGGGCATCACGTTGGGCATCCCGGCGCCAGCTATTGGGTTTCCTGATTGGTTTCAATGTGCCCACAACATTTGGATCCTTATTCACATATTTGCCCAGATGACCCCGTCAGATCAAATCCTCGATGGCTGTTTGTAGGGCCCTGCAGGCATTGGTGGCATGACCCTTCCTGTTGTGATATTTACAAAAAGCAGAGTCGTTTGCTCCCATAAATTGTGAAGAATCAGTCGGGAGGGGAATATTGTCCCTCTCGTGCTGATAAATGGTTGCTACTGATAGGACCAGGGGGGTAAATCTCCCTTGCTTGGGAGGTATAGCGGCCACTGGGCTAGGACCCAACCGATCGGCCATTCTGATTGGGGCAACACGCGCAACGACCTTATCCCTGATCATTATCTCCTCTTCTAGGGCAGCATGCTTGCGAGCTCTGTCTAATACCTCGGCATATGCTGTACCCGGATTTTTCTTCAAATCCTTGTATAACTCCCCCGTTCAGAGAGCATTCGTGAATAGGGTAATGGCGGTATCATCCGTCATGTTTCCCACTGTCAGAGTTTCATCCCTCCATCTTTTTAAGAATTGATTGAGGGTCTCTTTGGCGTTTTGCTTCACGCTGGTCAGGTAGCTGAAGTGTCGTTTCGGATTGGCACTGGAAGCAAGCTGGGCCAAGAATAACGTCGATAATTCGGAGAAACTGTTGATTGACCCGCGTTGGAGTGTCCCGAACCACTCCTGGGCGGGCCCTCTGAGCGTACTAAAAAACAACCGGCAAATAGCAGCCTCGGGTGCTCCTAGTAGCATGAGTCCCCCTTGGTAACTCCTCAAATGCACATGGGGATCTTCCACCCCGTCATATATTTGACCGGTCGGTGGTTTGGCACCTCCTTGGATGTCCGCATACATGAGTTCCCTGGTGAAAGGGGAAGTAATTCCCAGCTGAACTGGGGCAGGTTGTACAGGCGCCCTGTTCATCTGATCTCGCATCTCGTTCATCTGCCTCCTCATCTCAGCCATTTCTCCCTCCTGGGCCGTCAAAGGGGGCGGTGGTGGAGCCCTCATGTCTGTATAGTCCCGGTCCCAATGCCGTTGAGCGGCCCTGGTATTATCTCGTTCGGCATACTGGAAATGATGACCAATAGGAGTTGGTCCCCTAGCTTGTGATCCGATCGGGGTTCTGTCACTGGGACTATGATGCGCTGTTGGTAGGGCGCTACGTCGATTATCCCGATGAGCATGCGAACGGGATGACGATGTGGTTGTTTCCGTGCGTGGAGTCTCCCCTGTAAAGTTGGACCCTCCTTCCTCCTCGTTTGCCATATGCTGCATGACCTGGGCCATATCTCGCATGGCCTGGGATTTCTTCTTAGAGATTCAGGAATCACAAAATCTCCATCAAAATGAGGATACGATCCTCGGCTGGATTGTCCCTGAGGGGTTTGATTCCCCGGGGTGTGACTCCTTCCGTGACGGCGTGAACCATCGTTTGTGTGATAGGAACTGATTCTGACCATTTTTTAAAATAGTGGTTTTTAGGATGATTTGAATGTGAAACTTTTTGAACAATTTCCCACAGACGGCGCCAATGTTGAAGGTAAATCCCGTAGATCCGAAAGCCCAACACGAACTTTGGATATATCAGGAATGGTACAGAATCAAAGTGTATAACCAAAAATATAAAATATGAACTCGCTAATACTCGAAAGCTCACTTGTATTAATTAACCAGTCTGATTACAAGGAAATTCCCGATCGGTAGGTCGGAAACAATGCTTTAATACAAGAAATAAGGGCAATAATGCTATTCTAGAGTCTGAGTATTGAAATGCTAACCCTTACAATGATTTTAAACCTTCTATTTATACTAATGGAGAGCATGGGCTGCCCTATGCTGATTGGCTGTTGTTCCACCGACTTGGTCACCCATGTTTCCACTTGCTGATGTCACAATCTGGCATTAATTGCACCTGGCCACTTGCCGGTTGTCCGTTGCTCGAACGGGATGTAGGACTACGCTGAAGACGCTGCCAAATTGGGCCAAGTATGATATATAGCCCGAATGGCGTTCGGTATGTCTTCTTACTGGGCCAACCCTTACTTGGGCCGCATCTCGTTCGGCATGAATTCTTCACTGGATCTACTCATCATATAGTGATGGGCCCGTTGCTTGGGCCGGGTATCTTGGGCCTTCTTGATCCGGGTATTGGGCCTCTGGATCAATATCCCAACAGAGTTATTATCTTTTATATGACACCAATATTAATTTTTTTAAATTGTTATAAACTTTTTTTTTATAATTTACTTTTTATAAAAAGTATATCAAAATTCATATTTTTTACGGAGTATTACCTTTCATATGACATGACACCAATATTAAATACATAAAAATATAAATAAATCTGAAAATATGATGTGTGGAAGTTTTTACACTCATTTTTTTTTATAAAATAGATCTATGCTCTAAAATCAAGATCGCATAACTATATAGCTCAATTTCATGTTGTAATCGGGGATTTTTTTTATACTAAGAGCTTGTTTGACGACCCTATTTTTCGATTTATCAACCAACTTTTTCACCAAACACATAACTTTTGATTTAGAGCGATGTATTTGCTGAAATCACTCCAGAAAACTACTTTAACTATTTCTTCATATAATTATTTTTATCTTATTGATAAAAAATATCTTAAGTATATTTTTTTTATAATCAACAGAATTAGTCAATCTAGCAATTTCAATAAGATTTTGTTAAATTTCAAAAGAATCAATCAATTAAATCAATTTCAGCATTATCAAATGGGTTCTAAAAATTTATGAGATCTTAATTTTAGAACATAGATCTACTTAAAAATGTTTGTAGTCTAAAACACATCTACTCATCGTTACTTCAAAATTATTTTAAATTTTATATATCGAATATTGGTGTCATATTTTTATAAATTTGGATATAATTTTATGAAAATCGGATTGTAAATATAAAAATTACAAGAGTTTTTTAAAAAGATGGATTTTTTAATTTTGGATGAATTCCTGTTGGCTATCTCATAATCCGTACTCCTTATGTAGCATAGTAGCTTGCTTCTTGCGCGACTAACCTTTGGAAGCCATCATTTGGCCGCTTTCATTAATTAGGGTTTATCCCTACGGTATTTTAATAAATAGTTTTAATCCAACCTTAATTTCGTAAAAAAAATTATTTAACATTATTTTGAAAAAAAACTCAAACAAGAGAGGGTCATATTTAGTAACAAGTTTCAAACACACTAAGCATATAAGGGTTAGACAAATGAAGTGAGTTTTAAAACTCAAAATCGGCTGTATTGGTTGATTCTGTTACATTTATGAAGCTCTGACTGATGTGGCAGTATTGACTGATTCTTCTGATTTGTAAAAGATAATCCTACGTAATTTAAAATACTGCCCATAACTTCAGCCTTCAACCATACCTTTTCTTATTATTATAAGATTCAGTCCGTAAAACCAAAAGTTACGTGTTTGAAAAAAGTTATGAGTTACAAACTTGAAAAGCCCTAAAATTAGGTTTACGAAAGGGACACTTAAAAAATGTCATCGGCCACTGAAAATGATGAAACAGGAACAAGAATTTCATTTCCATTCAATTACCATCCGGTGGGTTAATAATGATTTTGGCAAACACAAATTCAAGGGACAACTCAAACCCAAATTAAATCAATTCAAGCAAACAACAACAGGAAGCTCAAATACACCATGATACATATGAGAGAAACACCGCACCAACTAAACTAGCAGATCAAACAGAAGTTTTAACAATGATCAGATATTAGATATGTAGCTTAGTCCCTCCAGCTGCGGCCGCCGCCGCCGCCATAACCACCACCACGGCTTCCATTGCCTTGGTCACCCCCACCGCCTCCGTAACCTCCACCTCCACCGTCACGGCGACCACCACCATAGCCTCCTCCGCCTCCGCCTCCTGAACCGCGAGATTGAGCCTCGTTGACGGTGATGTTTCGTCTATCAAGCTCACTGCCGTTCATTTCCTGAATAGCCTGTTTCATGGAATCCTCATCCTTAAAAGTGATAAAGCCAAATCCTTTGGATCTGCCTGTTTCGCGATCAATAATAATCTGATTCATTCAACATAAACAACGAAAAAAATCAGCATCACGGATATCCAAATCCTGAAATTCAGAATCAAATTTAAAAAATACAAAAAGCTATATACATATGAATACACAAGTGCATGTGTGAAACACAAAAGCGATCGATCTTAACCTCTCAAAAGAAAGAGGAAGATGAACGTACCGTTTCAAGAGAAAGAATTAGTAACAAATAGTAACAGAAGAGTAGATGAATCAAGTCAAGTAACAGAGTAGTAGTAGAAGAATAAGTAACAGAGAGATCATGTCAACAAAGCCCGATCGGGCCGAAACGAGATCCGACTACTGCTCGTAGACTAACAGACCTTCGTATCGAGGACATTGTAGGCAGCGAACGCCTTACCGAGAGAGTCATCGGTGGTTGCCCATGCCAAACCACCGACGAAGCATCGGTACTCAGCATCTGCCATATTTCCCTATCTGGTATCTGATAATATAATATAACAATAATGAGAGAAAATAGATGAATGAGGAGGGCAGAGAAGGGGATGGGGAAATCTAGGAAGAAAAGTGTGATCTATATAGGCGGTGGAGAGGCTAGGTAGTAGGAGTGTAAAATGTTGGACTAACTGCAATGCCGAGGGTTTAAAACCTACGGAGTATATGTAAGGTTTTCACCCCATAAACGACCGCAACCCAAGCCTTTTTATGTATAGCAAAGGGGGGAAGCCAAAGAGTGGGCATCTGGCCGGTTGATTCACTCCTCCTGCCTGATGCGTAGGACAGAAGAGGACCCCATGATGTTGACATGCCTGACAGATGCAGGAGCAAAGGAATGGTCACAATTGCTCTGTATTATTTGCTGCCCTCGTTAGAATTAGGCTTAATTTCGAGAATCAATTTCTCTTTCATGCATTATTCTTTCATGCATTATGCGTTTTGAGTGTATCACATATCGAATTGTAGTCATTACCAAGAACAATTCGAAATCACTTAAACCCGACCCAAATTGGAAGTGAACCACACTCAAATAATTGCCCCAAAATGATCAATTAATGCAATTTTTTAATACATTTTCCAACGATTATTATCATCACCATCATAGTCACTATTTTTATTATTGTTATTGGGTGTTGCTTTGGGCACCCCCGGTTTTACTAAACGTAACCATGCTTAGACCATTTTGCCCTATTTTTTTAAACTAAAGTTGCTACTTACTGCTCCGTAGTCCGTAGCACTCCATTCGTTGCCACCTCTAAGGCTCTAACAATATGTATTTTGTTATTTTCATAAATTCACTCTCTAGCTAATAGTTTTATAACATGTGGCCAGGGGCGGACCGTAGTACAAGGGGGGCTACCGTCCCCCAACAAGAATTTTTTTTAGTGTATATATATATGAAAAATAATTTTCTTCCTCCCAAAAAATATTTTGAATCCCCCATAAAATAATTTCGCCCCCCAAAGGTGACTTTTCTAGGTCCGCCCTGCATGTGGCAAACATTTTAAAACCCCATTTTTTTTAAAAAACTTCAATTACTTTTTTATAATATGCTATGGAGTATAACATTTCAATTGTGTTCTGATTATGAAAACAAATATTGAACTGAATAACTTGTTATAATCCTTCTTGACATCAATATTACATATGTAACATTTTGAAGAAAAAAGTCTTTGTTTAGACTTCTCCTTTGATTAAATTTTTGAAATTTTATCAATTCAGGACCTGAAAGATAGATGGATTATTATCAATTCAGGACCTAAAAGATGAAATGTATCGATATAGGATCTAAATGATGAAAAACTATCATTATAGGACTTGAATGATTTAAAATTATCGATCTAGGGCCTAAGTTGTCATGAATTTTATTAATTTTTTTATTTTGAAAAACTATATCATTTAGTTTTAATAAACTAATAAAGTTTTGTAAAGACAAGTTTATAAAAAACTAGCGGCAATGGAATTAATAAAAATTAAATAAATCATAAACTATGAAATGTTAGGTCCTAGATTGATAGTTTTCCATCATTCGGGTCCTATACCGATACATATCATCTTTTAGGTCCCGAATTGATAATTCATATATCTTTCAGGTCCTGAATTGATAAAATTCCTAAATTTTTCTCCAAATTTTTAATAAAAAAGGTGATTGAAAAATATTTATAAGAATATCCGGGTGTTTCAAAAATATTTATAATAAGAGCCCATGTGGTGATCCTGTTTTTCGGTTTATGAGTCTTATCAATCAATTTTTTCATTAAACACGTAACTTTTGATTATGCGCCCTGAGTTGTGTGATAAAGAAAAGTAAAGTTGAAGTTTCTGTTCTGACTGGATTGGTTAAAGTTAGTGTATAGAATAATTTTAGCTATTTTTTCATATAATTTTGTCTTTATTTTATTAATAAAATATGTTTTAAATATAATTTGTTCAGAATTCAGCAGAATCAACCAATCCAACCACTTCAGCCTGAAATTCATTGATTTTAGCGGAAACAGCCGATTCAGTCAATTTTAGTATTACCAAACGCATTATAATTGTTCTTTAAGGTATTCATAGTAATTGTTGGTAGTAGTTAGATTTGTAATCCTAATTATTTTAAGTGAGATAGTATTTTTTGAATGTAAGTAAGATTTATAATCCTAATTATATTTAGTGATAGTATTGTAATCCTAATTATGTATTTTCTGAGTATTGCATCTCAAAAGAAAAACTGAGAAATCAAAAGTTGGACAAAACTATTCCAACTCCAACATTATTGTCCCTGCCGCCTCGTTGCTATAATAGTACAACCATGCTACTCGTAAGTCGTAACTCGTATTACGATCAATTAATTAAAAATAAAGCAAGAGATCATTATTGTCCATATATGAGAAATAATTGGTGCGCCAAGCAACTTTGTAGGTGCGCTCAGAGAGGCCGTTGTTATTTGATACTCCGTAGTGTTATTATTGTTATTTTTGTTGTTGTTGGTATTTGTATGTTATATTAATAATAACAATATTACACAACATAAGAATTAATTATAAATAATGTTACTATAATACGAATAGAGTTATTATTGTCAATATTATCATTATGCACAACATTATTACTATTGTTGTTCTTATTATATTTATCTGTTACTATAAGTATAGAAAAGTCGGTTGTTGGTATTTGTACTATAATCTATTCTAATATAAAAGTAAAAGATTTTTGAGGAATAGTGTTCCCTCCAAGAAATGTCAACATCAAGTTTTATTTTCATTTTTATTAGATACTTTATTTTGATTAAAATACTAATTTTCTATTAGTTGAAATGGATGGTGGGAATAGTCAAATACTTAAACCTTATTTAATCTAATATAAAAGCAAAAGAAGTTTGAGGAATAGTGTTCCCCCCAAGAAATGTCATCATCAAGTTTTATTTTAATTTTTATTGGATACTTTATTTTGATTAAAATACTAATTTTCTATTGGTTGAAATGAGTGGTGGTAATAGTCAAATACTTAAACCTTATTGGTTGAAATGGGTGGTGGGAATAGTCAAATACTTAAACCTTATAAGAAATTATATTAAATGAGACTAAAACATGGTTAAAACTCTAAAATAGGACTTCAAGTTTTAAATTGCCTAAATGGGACTAAAGATTACATTTTTACCCCTCATTAACCTAACCCTCTCCTTCTGCAATCGATCGACAATTTCATCTTCCTCTAAGCCATTCATCTTCTGCGATTCTTTACTCCACCATGGCCGCACTCCGCCATCGATCGTAGCCTCACAACACCATAGCTCCGCCGTCGACGACCTCTGCTGCAATAGCGAAGACAGGTATGTACTCTTCTTCTTCTTCCTCCTCCTCCTCCTCTTCTTCTTCTTCTTCATCCTAGTTTTCTGCTTTTTTTTTAGTTTTTTATCAATCAAATTTTAAATAAAATTTTGAATTTTGAAAGTTCCAAATGAAGATATATCTAAACTTGAATTTCTTGTTATCAATTTTGATTAATTTGATTCTCAAAATGTCCTGACTAATGATTCCAGAAAATGCCACTTTTGAATAGTAGAATGTCATTATTATTGGGTATTTTTAAAAAATGTCACTTTTATGTCATTACAGTATTTGAAAATGTCATATTGAAAATGTCATTTCTCTATACGAAATTGTAATTATTGTGTCATTATGCATATTAAGTGGCATTCTCGCATATGAAGTGTCATTCCTCATGGAGGTCTGCACTGACTCACCGGAGGGCAAATCTTTGTTGGAGATTGATGACAGCGTACTAGTTGAGTGGTGGTGGTGGTAGCAGACTTCATGGATGGTGGCAAAGGTGCCAATGGTGGAGGCGTCGACTCCAAACATGCGCATACGGCACACCTGCGCAACAAGGGGAAGGGGAAACCTGCGCAGCAAAGGGAAGGGGAAACCTGCGCAGCAGAGACCTGGTGTGCGTAATTTTTTCATTAGGGGTATTTTCGTCAGTTTAGCTCTTTTTAGTCCTATTTTTGTCCAATAAAACATAGTAGTCCTGTTTTTGCAATTATACATTCTTTTAGTCTTATTTAAGAAAATCTCTCAAACCTTATTTATTCTAATACAAAAGCAAAAGAAGGTTGAGAAATAGTGTTCCCCCAAGAAATATCAGCATCAAGTTTTATTTTAATTTTTATTGGATACTTTATTTTGATTAAAATACTACTCCCTCGTCCCGCTAGAAGATTCCCGTTGGCGGTTTATGATGCTTGACTGACGATAAAACAACTTAATCCATGTTCACACTCTGATTATTTTTAGTAAATAAAATCAAGATATTCAGAAACTACATTTAAACCGCTACAAAGCCTGATAAAAAAATGTAAATTTGATAAAAATTTGATTTATAAAGTAATAGATTAAAAATGATTTAAGTTGACCATGTGAATAGTGGACAGGAACTTTCTAGCAGGACGGAGGGAGTAATTTTTTATTGGTTGAAATGGGTGGTGGGAATAGTCAAATACTTGAACCTTATTGGTTGAAATAGGTGGTGGGAATAATCAAATACTTAAATCTTATTGGTTGAAATGGGTGGTGGGAATAGTCAAATACTTAAACCTTATCTATTCTAATATAAAAGCAAAAGAAGTTTGAAGAATAGTGTTCCCTCCAATAAATGTCAACATCAAGTTTTATTTTAATTTTTATTGGATACTTTATTTTGATTAAAATACTAATTTTCTATTGGTTTAAATGGGTGGTGAGAATAGTCAAATACTTAAACCTTGTTGGTTGAAATGGGTGGTAGGAATAGTCAAATACTTAAACCTTATTGGTTGAAATGGATGGTGGGCATAATGAAGCTTATTGATTGTTTCCAAATTCCTAAAAGATTGCAATGAACTTTCAGCTATAAAAGTAATGTGAATGTAAGAAGGTTTTCACATTCATTTATTCCCATATCAATAAATATATATTTTTGCTCAAGTTGGTAGTATTATTTTGTAACAATTGATTTCATCAAAAATTGGTTGAAAAAAACATATCGTAATTTTATAATTGTAGGTTGGACAAAAAGAAGTAATTCAAAAGACATTGATGGAAGGGATATTTTTTAAATAAAGTGTTGTAATTATTAGAGTTGTGCTATTTAAATAAAAAAAAGCCGTCTTAAAATTATCAAATTAATAGAAGTCTATGTGTTTGGTGTGTGTTACATCTATGTTGTCTTTTGATATACCGGGTCGAGAACGGCTGGAGTGGAGATTAGATGTTGGGGACAAATAATGAGTAGACAATAACCGTTTGGAATTCGTTTATGGCGATTCGGGTTTCGGGTTGTTCAACCTCTTGAATGAGTTCATCGGTCTCCCAACAGTTTGAAATATTTAAAGGTAGGTGGTGTAGTTGTATTTAATGAGATTAGGTTACTATTAATGACACATGACATGTTTGTTCGCACGTGTGTAGAAGTGTACAATTTTTAAAATTGGTGGAAGTGTTGTGTTTAAAGTGTCTTTAAAAAAATTTAAAAAATGTTTGAAGTGTGTTTTGTTAAAAATGCAAACAAACATCTTCCATATTTTTGGGAGAATGAAAAATGATAAACATAATTTTAGGATGCTTATTTGTTAAAAAATTATCCATCGAAAATTATCAACATAAACTGGAAATGAAAAGGATTTTTAACTATAAACGTATGGAGTCCAGATCTGTAGAGTTTCGATGATGTGCTTCACATAAAGTCGGTTTTAGGATGCTTATTTGTCAAAAAATGTGTATTTGACGATCGATTTATAAAAAAATGAGATTAATCTTTTATTAAAAAATTATCAAAACAAATCTAGAAATGAAAATCGATGAGAAACATGAACACGGATCTTCCAGATCTGTGGGCTTTGGACGATGTTGTTCATATAAAATCGGTTTGTCGTTGCTTATTCGTGATAAACGTCAAGGCGAGATGTGGTTTGTGAGGTGGTTGGATTTAGATCTTACCCCTGACATGTAAATCTAGGCGGAAGAATGAAACGTTTACGGATCCATGGCCATGAACTTCCAGATCTGTAAAGTTTGTGTGTTGTAGTTATAAAAAAAAAATTTAGTTTGGTTATTCTTGGAAAACATGAAATCGACGAAGGCTTGCATGTAGAAGAAGGAAAATGAACTTACCGTGCAGTCTGACTAAATGCGCAGAGTGACGCCGTATTGTGCCAATGTTCGTTCGGTTGTGGCTTCACGGTGGGATAAGGGATGAGAACATGGCGATGATGTTCAGCGACCACTTCGTTTTTCCAGTCGATTGGATAAACTGCGGTTGAGCGTTATGGTCAGAGTTTAGAGAGAAGGAAGGTCGATCTGGCTAGGTGTCGGTGATGAAAATGGAGGGTTTGTGGGAGGTATCGTTTTCAGAGTCGTTATAAACGCATTTACATCGGGAGGGGTTTACATGGATTATTGGGCTACTTCTGCGGCCCGTTTAGTTGCTGAACACGGAAAACACATAGGCTGCTCTGGATCGGCCCGTACAAATAGCTTAAGGTTTCTTCAGTTTAGATGAATGCCCAAATTTGGACATTTAAGTTAATACGTATGAAGGAGTACTCCCTCCGTATTTTAAAGCTTGCTACACTTTCCTATTTGAGATGTATTTTTTTATAAAAAATAGAAAAAAATATGAATATAAAATCTATATTTTATTCGCTCTTTTCTAATTATTCGTATATTCTACTTTTTAAGAATTTTGCATTGTAATTCTATATGATGTAGGTTTTCATGTATTTTATTTATTTGAAAACGAATTTAGTATTTATCAATTTTGACATTATTTTTAGCATTTTTATACTTTTATTTATATATTTTGAAAATGCATATGTGCTTTTATAAAAACAAAATCAATTATGTGAAGTTATTTAGAAAACGAACCATCATAGTGGCTCAAAATGCCTCAATTGAATGTGTTTTAAAAGTAAATGTACTTAATGACACCATTACTTTTTTCGTGTATGGTCAACACACATGTGTGAAATAATATAAGGATCTCTTTAAACACTTCCCACAAATTTGTATTCAAGTATGATAGTCCCAAAATACTAAACAATCAAACAACCATCACAGTTATGAAGAAGCAGATAGAAGATTATGAGATGAAAAACCGAATCTGGTATACCGTGTAAAGTGGCCGCTGCTCTCCCTGGAGAAGGAGAGCAGCGGCAAACCCTTCTCTCTATCTCTGCGCCTCTGCTTCTCTAAAGCCTCGAACCTTCGTTAGGGTTCCCGTAAGTTAGCCTCCTTTTATAGGAGAAGTTGGCTAACTTACGGGTTACAAGGAAGCTAACGAGCTGATACACATTTGTGGCCCGTATTACACGTTTAATTAATAACTACACAAATACAAAGATATTTAATTAGATTGGACACCATAAAATATTCCTAACAAAGTATACTTTAAAAATAAAATAACACAGTTTTACATTATTGCACACCCCCTATTTTGCATGTTTACCCGGGCAATCATTTAGAAAATGAAAAATATATTTGCTAAATCATTTGTGCATTGTGAGGGTGAATTTACTAGAAGGAAGAATTTTAATTTTAACACGAGTTAGTGCGGGACAGAAGGTGTTAATTTCGAAGCATTTCTTAACACCTTAAGACGTTAGCCACTGCAATTCCGGATACTAGAATACCTAAACATGACTTATTGTGTCATGAATGTAAATAAAATCAAAAATAGTTGGTGTCCCATGTTGCATGGTTTGTTGTTTAAAACACTTATTAGTAGTTGTTGTCGATTTTACGTGGCTGTGTCAGGAGCAATCAATCCGTCGAGCGTTAAACAATCACATTGCATACAATGACCGTGGAACAAAAATTGAAACAGAGAGTATTGTGGGTCTATAAAATGTGTGAACTACTCAGTAATTATTGGTAGATCATACTGAATATGTTTCATTTTTACGTCAAACTTTATAATTGTACAGACAACAATTGTAAATGATTCAAGTAAAATTAGAAGTTTTTTAACTTTAAATTTGATTAAAATTAATTGCATCGTGAAAATTTTCAAATCGTGCATCGCACGAGTGCTCTACTAGGATCGAATAGAGTCGGTTAAGGCCCGATTGGCCCAGACGCCCAATACAATCGGGCTGAACTGTGCATCGCACGGGTTCGGTCTAGGATCGAATAAACCCGGTTAAGGCCCGATTGAAGAATTATCATATTTGAGTATTGTTTAAATAAGGCCATAACACACTTTCACATATTTGCACGCCCCCTGATTTGCCAATTTATCCGGGCACTTCGTGTAAAAAATGTAATTCGTATAAATGCATAGTCACCATATTACTTGAGATGTTTATACTTAGACTTATTTCAGTCTCAAACCAAACCAAACTTAAACAAACCAGACCAGACCATACTTGGATATTAGAAATAGTAGAAGCACGTATTTGAACATTTTCTCACAAATTTGGATTCAAGTATAATTCAAGAATGACATAACACACTTTCACATATTTTACTCCCTTATTTTACCTATTTAGAGAGACAATTCATCTAAAAAAATCGTGTAAATTTAAAAATTCTAATTGGTGATGAAGATGAAGGAACCATTGACAAAATGACAAGACTCAGAATATTGTATTCAAAGAAGTGTTCAACAATGTTTAGGTTTACTTTAAATGCATATTTACAATGTGATGGTTTCAACGTATTTGTTGGATGTTTTTTATCTTTTAAGTAATGTTTAGTACTCTCATTTTGACCATAATATTATAAGTGTGTTTCATTTAATGCTTTTATGTATATCAGTATTACACGAAGATAGATGATGTCATCAATGGATAGTGTGATTTGAATCACTAAGTACACATAAATTTGAAAGAAAAATTCTCAGACCGTGCATCGCACGGGTGAGTTTACTAGTAGTAATAATAGTACTATTACGTAATATAACAATACTATATACGTACCTCGATTCTTAATTAGTTGCAATATTATAAATTTTACGCTATTTATGTGCTCTACTTTGATTATATTTTATTTACGAGTACATCAATTTTTTTTTAAATATGATTAAATCTTTCTCGCTTTAAGTTTTCAAAAAGTGAATTTTTTAAAACATTTATAGTTAGAGGATTAAATATATTAATCATCAAAGTTGTGTGTTGGAAAACGTGAAAATGAAAGTGTTGCGATTAAAAAAACGAAGGAAGCAATTACAATGTAAGCAGGGGCGGACCCAAAAAAGTCATCTCGGGGGCGAAAAATATTTTTTTGGGGGGTCCAAATATTTTTTGGAAGGGAGAAAATTATTTTTCATATATATACAGAAAATTTTTCTATGTCTCTACTACGATCCGCCCCCTGAATGTATCAGTATGTTTTTCCCCCTCTTATCAAGAATTATTGTGCCCGTCGCGTACTTATTCCTCTAATAAGAATCAGGGGCGGATTGGGCCTTAGGCCAGGCAGGGCCTAGGCCCATGCTGAATTTTTTTTTTTAAACTAGTATAGGTGTTTTAAAATTAGGCCCAGTCTGAATTTTTAAAAAATCAGGCCCAACCTGAATTTTGAAGTCCAAAAAAAGAAAGAGTCCGTTTCTTCAAGACCGAGAGGCGACTCCAAACGGCAAAACGCAATCCCTCTGCGACTCCAAACGGCAAAACGCAATCCCAAGAGCCAAGACGGCAAGACGGCAAGACCGAGAGGCGACTCAGGCGAGAACCGGAGAACGACGAGATTCGAGAAGCCTGTCCGCGGCGTCCGCCTGCTGGCTGCACCGCCTGTCCGCCTGCTGGCTGCTGCGGCCTGCACTGCTGCAGCTCTGCGCCGACTCCGCCGAGAAGACTGAGCTCTGCGCGGCTGCGCCGACTCCGCCCGACCGGCGACCGCCCCTGCCGCCGACTACACTTCTGCAGTTCTGCAGCTCTGCACGACAGCCCAACATGTATTTTTTTGATTGTGAATTTGTGTATTTGTGATTCTGTGAATTTAAACTTTTATTAATTGTGAATTTAAACTTTTATTAATTGTGAACTTTGTGTAAAATTGTGAATTTGATTATTAATTGTGAACTTGTAAATTGTGAATTTTAAACTTTGCTTGATGTGAAATTGTGAATTTGATTATTAATTGTGAACTGGTAAATTGTAATCATCATTTGTAGTATGTATTTGCTTGTGACTTGTAGGTGTTCTAATTAATCTAATTATTAAGTTAATTAATATTCGTGTTGTAAGTAGTCATCCCGTTATTTTCAACATAGGTAAATAGGTAATGAAGAGATACTATAACCCTGTTGAAGAAAAAGCTGATGAAAGTAGCTCATCAAAAATTGTAGTGCCGGCTGTGCCGTCAACTACAATTCAAGAAAACTCAACAACAAATGACGAAGAGCATACAATCATACAATCAGTCGCCGCTAATGAGTTTGATGCTTCCCAACTTCCATCTGACCCTGGATTGAGAATACCGATCTCAAGGTATCATCCAAATATTAGAGATCAAGTTCGAAGAGCATATTTGCAGAAAGGCCCTTGTCAACCATTTGAACATGACTTCCCAATGAAGATGGTTTCTGCAAATAAATCAAGAAGATTTGTTCCGACTTGGTTTACTGAACATGAATGGTTGGAGTATAGCATATCTAAAGATGCTGCTTATTGTTTGTATTGTTACCTTTTCAAACCCAACAAAGGGAAACAATCAGGAGGAGATGTGTTTGTTTCAGAGGGATTTAGCAGTTGGAAAGATAAGGCCAAACTTAATGTTCATGTTGGAAAGTATGATAGTGAGCACAATCAAGCTCGAATGAGGTGTGATGCATTGATGAACCAAGATGCACATATTGAGACAACATATTTTTGTGATCAACATTCTATTGATATCCCAAACATGAATGACACATTCATCCGTTTTGATTCTCGAGGTCGCCCCGTACGTAAAGGATCAACTCTTACTAATTTGCATCACTATCGCTATGATCTATTTTGTGCTGTGATTGATTTGCAACTGCAAGAGTTGGGTGATCGCTTTTCAGAAGCTAGTACAGAGTTGCTACTATGCATTGCTTGCTTATCTCCACGAGATTCATTTTCTGCTTTTGAGAAGAAGAAATTGCTTAGATTGGCCGAGTTTTATCCCCGGGATTTTTCACCATTAGATGTTTGTATTCTCACTGATCAACTTGAAAGTTATATCTTTGATGTGCGCTCTAATGCTTTTTTTAAGGAGCTCAATGGACTTGGTGACCTTGCAGAGAAGTTGGTAGAAACTAAGAAGCACAAGGTGTTTCCTTTAGTTTACAAGTTGTTGACATTGGCATTGATTCTTCCTGTTGCAACCGCTAGTGTTGAAAGAGTATTTTCAGCAATGAATATCGTGAAAGATAGGTTAAGCAACCGGATGAGTGACGACTGGTTCAATGATAGACTTATTGTTTATGTGGAAAAAGACATCTTCTTGAAAATTGACAATGATGTCATTATCAAACGATATCAATCGATGAAAACCCGTAGATAACAGTTGTAAAATTATGATGTTTTTGTATTTGACTTTAATGCAAACTTTTATTCCTATATCTTTATTTTTGTTTTTGATTTTGTTGCTAGAATATTTTTTTTTTGAATATTCATTTTTAATTACATTTTGGCCCCACCTGGATGCCAAAGCTAGATCCGCCCCTGATAAGAATCTCTCCATTATGTGAATTGAAATATCATTTGTTCCACCAAAGATTTGAGACATGAACATATAACAATCTAGATATGGAACATGAGGTTTTTAATAACTACTGTACTTAAGTAGTCTAGCTATTGATCCATGGAGACATGGAGTGCTTACTGCATACTTGTTCATGTTAGTACTCTTTGCATGGTGTGCGTATTTAACTATAAAAAAACTACGTAGTAACTTTTACGACAATTAAATTGCCAAGTGTGTTTGAATTGGTATGTCCATATTCAATCTATTGTAGCTCATTCCTAAAAGGTGGCACTTTTAGAGACGAATAAAAGTAACAAGGTAGATAAAATGATTCAGATCCTCTGCCGTGCGGTAAAGTTCATTGCGGTAACCGACTGTAAGATGGTAAGGAAGACAACATCGAGATATAGATCTCAAGATCTCCAAATTTTGAATTTTTAATCGGATGGTTCACAATTGCCGGACACTCTAGAGTCCTTATATCATACATCCGGGAGTATGTACACCCGACTCAACTAAGGAAGACAGTCCAATAACCGAAACATGCCATTTTTTCGGTGGTATTTTTGTAATTTAAGTGAAAAATCACGACTTCTGCTAAATGAGCAATAATTACTTTTAGTGAGCATCTGACCTATTTTAGTGAGTATTAGGAGGTTTACAATGAGTATCACGATCTCTGCTTTATATCTTCTAATTCTTTTTTTTCTTTTTTTAAAACTTACTCCGTATTAAATTATATCTATAATCCACACTTATTAATTTCAATATGTGAGTCTAATGTAATACGATACTTTTGAAATATGCATTGATAAGACATTTTCAAAATGAGCATAATGGGTTGGGTTGGGTGTTTTGGAGGGGTTTGGGTGTGGGAGGGGTGGGGGGGGGTGGTAGGAAGTAATTAGAAAATAACAAAAAAAAAGGGTGAACCGGCCCGGCCCGTGAACCGCCAAGTGAACCGGCCCGACCCGGGGCCGGAGCTACCCGGGCCGGTTTCCGGGCCTCACTTCTCCAAAAAAAAAGCCCGCTCAGAACCGAACCGAGACCCGGCCCGGCCCGAACCGAGGAATAAGATTCCGGATCAGGTAGAATTTCACTTTGAGAAAGAGCCAGTGCGTGATTTTGCTCCATAGGAAAAGCAGCGAGTTTAGCCCCTAGAAGACCTGTTTCAGAGATAATGTCGAGAGTATATTTGCGTTGACAAAGAAAAATGCCACCAGAACTACGAGCAACCTCGATTCTAAGAAAATATTTGAGAACACGGAGATCCTTCATATGAAAGCATTGATGCAAATAGGATTTAAATTGAGAGATAGCTCTCGAATCATTGACTGCTATAATCAAGTCATCAACATAAATAAGAACGTATAAATGGACAGTCTTTCGTCGCAATGTGAAAAGAGAGTAGTCAGAATAAGACTGCAGAAAACCATAATTCTTTAGAGAAGAGGCCAACTTAGCAAACCAAGATCGGGGCGCTTGACGCAAGCCATATAAAGACTTTTTCAACCGGCACACCTGTCCCGGCCGAGAAGCAACAGATCCCGGAGGGAGTTTCATATAAACCTCCTCCTTCAAGTTCCCATGAAGAAAGGCGTTGTGAACATCCATTTGATGGAGTTCCCAGTTCTTAGCCGAAGCAACAACAAAAAATATGCAGACTGTAACCATTTTGGCTATAGGAGCAAACATCTCGGTGTAATCAATGCCTTCTTGCTGATGATTACCAAAGACAACAAGGCATGCTTTATAACGCTCAACGGTTCCATCTGAATGATATTTGATTTTAAAATCCCATTTAGACCCAAGCGCTTCCTTACTCGGAGGAAGTGGCTCCATGAACCAAGTCTGATTATTTTCAAGGGCCCGAATTTCACTTTGCATAGCGTCACACCAAGCATCATCGGTCATAGCTTCTTTAAATTAGCGAGGCTCACGTCCTGCAAGTACTGCTCCAAGAAACGTACGATGACCAATCGAAAATTTGTCAATTTTACATAATTAGCCAGAAGATAAGGCGTACCTGAGGAACAGACAAAAGAGGTAGACGAGTAGTCCAAAGCCTTATATAGTGGTTTGTTGTTTTATAGGTTTCCGGTGTGGGACAAATACTCTAACATGCCCCTTCAGCCCGAACCGGGCTGGATAATATCGGGGTGTATAAATGGGCCAAGCAGACCCTTGACCAGCTACCCGTAATCATGGGTGCTAAACAAGTTGTCAACCCACAACCGAAATTGGCTCTGATACTATGCTAGAAACGGTAGTTACGTATAAGGTAATAGTACATAGTATTTGGGTAAGGAATCAACCGTTTATTCATTAGATGGTTTAGGGTATTTATACAAACTGATTACAATAAGGATGGTTAAGCATCTATCTAAACTAAACCCTTAGCCCATATAAACATGTCTAGCTAATTACAAATGGGCGAAGCCCATGTAGTCCGCTAACAAAGGCTCAAAGTTGCAGGGAATGACAAAAAATATCGGGTGTATGTGTACACGTACCACCTTATAATTTCCGGACACTCTAGCTACTTTGCTATTAAAGAAAGACACAAATCAGATTCAAGTCCTTGGATAAGAAACATCCGGACATAGGAAGAAGTGTAATTGACTAATAGTTGACTAATCGAAAAAATTATTAAATTCACCATTTTCCTTGCACGAATAGGAAACAATAGAACCTGAGGTACTCCTTTGAAGCACATGACACATTGAAAGTAACTGTGCATATGAATCTTTTTCAGATCTCATAGCTAGTTCCATTGCCAATTCTTTTGCAATCCATGCTTTTTTGTATGACATGTAAATGTCATATTTGGTCTGCATATCAAGCATCACTGATTTCGGAGGGTATGGCTTATTGGATGGATCACCGTACTCATGTTTGATAAGTTCGACAATAATCCTAGACGTAGCCTGGCGACTATTTTGTTGACGTACATCAATTGAGCATGTGTGCTCAAAGTCAAATCTAGGAAAAAACGATTAATGAAAGGCATTATCTTTTGGGTAGTTAAGTGGATAATGAATTAATGCACATTGTTCGAAAATGCAAATAAAACATAATGCAATAAGGCAGAGCATTATAACAGTAGCACAATGGGCATTAAAACATATCACCCAACTTATAGTACTTCCCTATAGTTGTTCAAACATGCAAATAAACTGTAATTCAAAAAGGGTGGGCATTATAACATTAGCACACAGGGCATTAAAACATATTACACAAATTATAATTCTGATTTAAATTTCCCAAAATATTTTTTTTCAAGTAAAAACACAGTGATACCATACACATAGGACAGTGGAAAAATAATTAAGAGATACATTAACATGGAAAAAAAACTTGATCCAAAAATCAGGACATAACAACATTTGCACATACGGCTTCAAAAAACTTGATGCAAAATGGACGGAGTATAACATTTGAACATAGGGCATTACAATACTTGATGAAAAAAGAACATAGGGCATTAAAATGTGTATGAGTAGTATAATACTAATTTTATTTCCCTTATTTTTTGTTTAAATTAACGTAACAGTAGCCCAATACATACATTAGCATGCAATCGTAATTTAATGAAGAAGTAAGGGCATTATGACAGTTGGACAGAGGGCATTACTAATAAATGCCAAAACGTAATACAAAGAACATGAATGCATACCTTTTGACCTCGAACAATGAGACTTCGTCGATGCGCACACCATGTACCGCCCACTTGCACTCGGGTCAACACACACAACATGCAAAACCTTCGGGCAAGATGTCTTTGTTCTATACTGAAAGAAGTTGGTAATGGTATACACCACGTTCTTCCATATTACTCGGGTGGTTAATTCCACGTGCTTCCTCTCCATTAGTAGCACCAACCTCCTCACCGGATACAAATTCAACACACAATGACATTTGCATCGGATCCTTTTGAAAACTCTTCAATTGTAAATAAAATTGTAGACTAACGTCATCACATACATTCACGGGCGGTGGGCACGTAGCAAAAACATATGAGATCTTAATATTCTCCCCGGCATAATTCTCACCCATAGCAGCGCAAACACGAGAATATAGAGAATCATACGTACAATTTGAAGGTATAGTTAAGCCGGCAACATGAATACTAGAGGACAAAGTATTTGAGATCCATTGGCCTTCATATTTAATCATAATCCACATTTCCGGTGAAAATACGGGGACGGAATCCATGGATAAAGCTTCAGTCCAAAACTGCCAAGGAAATGCTAGTGTTCGTGTAAAGAAAGGTCAGGTGATTGGGATAGGAATAAAAGTCATTTACTTACCTTTTATTAATTATTTCCTTACTTTTAGGTTTCTCCTATTAATAATCCTATTATTACGTAGCTATGATTCCGGCAGATCATGCGGTTATGCAAATGCAGATATATTGCCGACGGTTACATGCTACTAACTTATTGGTTAGGTGGCTTTGGTATTAATTAAATAGAGGGATAGTATTGGTATTAAAATATGTGTTCAAACACACGTGCATGGATGAGACCATGTGCGGTCATACATTAGGAATAATAAGAAATTAGTCATAGAATGGTCATGACACTGTGTTTTTGTGATACGAGGGATAAATTTCTCTTTGAATAATAGCCTAAAGTATATGTTTCACCTGGTAGGTCTCTAATTAGGTCAAACGTAAAAACAAAACAGTGAAAAGTAACAAAGGTAGGCGCAACAAGTAGATACTTTAATGTTTGAATAATAGCCTAAAGTATATATTTTCATTCCTTTTTTTAATTAACTTGACTAGCTAACAGTACATATTATGAGCTAATTAAGTATTATAATACATATTAGAACTAACTTAGTTGTCTAAAACAATTATCATATCTTAAA